TATTTTAACATCAATAAATTATTGAATATTTTGTGTAAATTAAACTAATTATGTGTTCACTATTGGAAATATTCCCAATTTGCGGGAACATTGCGCCAGAAATCAAGCAAAACATATCGCTATTTCATGTGTTCATCGACTCACACAATGAGCGCAATATACTGTACGTTACGGCCGACGACACCGCCTATGGGTTGGGCGCCAACAGCGACGGGTGTCTGGGTTTGGGTCACGACCGGGCCGTACAATTGGCGCAACAAATACCGCAATTATCGCTCAAACGGATCCAGCAATTCGCTACCGGAGCAACATTTGCACTGGCATTGGATGCCACTAACTGTATCTATAGTTGGGGCAAAAATGAGCATGGCCAGTTGGGTCGTGATACTTTACATGGATCATTACACGCGTTACCGGACAAAATACCATGGTCTAACCTGATAGTTCAGCTATGCTGCGCCGATCACCACTCTCTGGCCCTGACCGGCAATGGCCGGGTGTATGCCTGGGGTGACAACAGGTACGGCCAGGTCGGCCATCACACTCAGGGAACCACTGGTTGTAGCGGCAAACCCACTGCCATAGACTTTCCCGGCGGGTGTCCGGCCATTAAATACGTTCACTGTTTTAATACGAGTTCATTCGCTGTAACAACCGATGGCCAGGTATTCAGTTGGGGCGACAATCAGTATAATAGGTTGGGTCATAACGTTAGCGACGAGATTGTATTTACGCCACGTTTGATATCAACGCTAACCGGTGTCCAGACAGTTGTCTCCGGCACTCGACTGACGTATTTCCTCACGAGTAGTGGTTTTGTGTATTTTTGCGGCTTTTTGTGGCAAAGAGACGGCTTTGTCGGCGAAGCGGTTCCCAAACGTCTTCAGACCGGACTCGCCGTTCAAGACATACAACAGTTTAATGGAAATATCAATTATCCGTACTTTGATTTTGTCACCGTTTTAGCCAAGGGTAGGATTTATAAGATGACTGATACAAACGCGTTCGTTGATACAAATTATGGTAATTTTGTCGACTTTTACGCCAATGAATATCTGATAAGCTATAATACATTGTATTTAATGCCAAAATTAACTGCAAGTAATAATAATAACACTATTATTGAGGGCAATAATAATCTAATTGAAAGTAAAAGTAATACTTTTAATAATACTTATAAAAGTAATAATACTTTTAAAGCCAATGAGAATATTGCTAAAAGTAATGCAAAACTTTTTGAAAACAATGCTAGTATTGAAAGTAATAACATGTTTGAAAGTTATGGCAATATTATTAAAACTATTCCCAATACAGTTCCCGATATTATAGTCAAAAGCCATACTATGATTGAATCTATCGCTAATGCAATAGAAATCAATGGGAATAATACTAAATCAAATCCCAACCCCTTTCGCAATACTGTAATTAATAGTAATAATATCACTAAAAGTAACGATACTTTTTATGATACTGTTGATGGCAATAATATTAAATCTATTCCCGATAATGTAATTAAAAGTAACAATATTATTAATTACAACACTATTAGTATTGAAACTATTCCTGATATGGCAATCGCAAGTAATAATATTATTAGAAATAACCCTAATATTACTAATACTAATGGCAATTATAATAAAACTATTGTCGATTCTATAATCAAAAGTAATAATATAACTAAAACTAAAATTGAAAGTCCGTTTCTCAATGAGTTGAATGCAAAACTTAATTTAATGCCTGTCAAACTCAACGAGGCTAAATCATCAAATGATGGTTAGTATTATTTAGTGATTTAGTTTTACTATGTAATTTATTTAATTATAATTAATTTATAATGTTAAATTTCAGAGATTCATCGGGGGTTGAATGCAAAAGGTAATTCAATGCCTGTTAGGCTAAACGAGAATAATGCAACATTTAATTGTAAGTTTGTTTTTTACATTAATTTAATTATCTATAGTTAATTAATTATGGTTTAGTTTCAGACAAGTGGCAATTGGTGGAGCAAGAGATTAATGATAAACAATTAAATGGTAGTGAGTTATCTTGTATATTATATTTTTCTACATTCATTCATTTAATTGTAATTATGATTTAGCTTCAGAGACACAAACATTGATTGAGAAACAGCCCTATGTAAAACCCAAACCCGAATTAAATAATTTTAAAGCCGATGATAATATTGCAAAAAGTAATGAAAAACTCGTTGAAATCAATGGTAGTATTGAAAGTAATAATATTACTAAAAGTAACGATACCTTTATTGATATTTTTGATGATAATACTACATCTATTCCCGATAATGCGGTTAAAAGTAACAATATTATTAATTACAACACTATTAGTATTGAAAATATTGGCACCAGTACTGCAACTATTCCTAATATGGTAATTGCAAGTAATAATATTTTTGAAAATAACCCTAATATTACTAATACTAATGGCAATTATAATAAAACTATTGTCGACACTACAATCAAAAGTAATAATATAACTAAAACTAAAATTGAAAGTCCGTTTCTCAATGATTTAAATGCAAAACTTAATTTAATGCCTGTCAAACTGAACGAGGCTAAATCATCAAATGATGGTTGGTATTATTTAGTATAGGAAACTTTATTTTTATCATGTAATTTGTTTAATTATAACCAATATGTTTTTGTTTAAGTTTCAGAGATTCATCGGGGGTTGAATGCAAAACGTAATTCAATGCCTGTTAGGCTAAACGAGAATAATGCAACATTTGATTGTAAGTTTGTTTTTTACATTAATTCATTTATCTACAGTATACATTAGTTAATCAATTATGGTTTAGTTTCAGACAAATGGCAATTAGTGGAGAAAGAGATTAATGAAAAAGGATTACATGGTGGTAAGTTAGCTCAAAGATTATATTTTTCTACATTCATTCATTTAATTGTAACCATGATTTAGCTTCAGAGACACAGACATTGGTTGAGAAACAGCCCGATGTTTCACCAAAACCCGAAGTAAAGCCAAAGCCGCCGTTGAAAGCGAAGCCTAGTTTACAGCCAAAACCCGATTTCAACCCAAAACCAGTGCTCAAGAAAACAGTGTCCCAACCATTGCCTACTTTTTCAGCCAACCTTTTACCCCGAGGTTTTAAAAGCACTTATAAAAGCTCCGGTCCTTTTAGTGAACAGTAGATTATGGATTAAGATTGTTAATTAAACTAGATATTTTCATATGTAATTTTATTTTAGATATTTAGAAATATTTTGTATAACTTATAAATAATTAGTATTCGTTGATTTTATTTTATTAAAAGTTAATAAATTAACAATTTTAAGCACTTATTTTGATTAAAATTTTAGTTATAAACTATTTAAAAACTTTTAATAAATATTTATTAAAAAACGGTATATAATTCTTAAGTATTGAATGTTTAAACACAAGGTATTTGTGCCATATTTTGAATTTTTATTTTAGTTTTAGTATTTACATTTACATTTATATGTGTTAGTTAACGAAAAGTAGTGTTGATGTACTGTACAGTAAACTTGGTTCCTAACCATAATAACTGTCACTATAATGGTCTCACCGGGAGATTGCAAGACCTGGTTTATGATACTCTGTTGGGGTGCTAGGTGCTAGGCGCTGTTAGGTGCTATTGAGGGAACTGTAGTACAAGTGCTAACATTCAAACATATAATTATATAATTATTTTGAAAGTTTTTTCATTTTCCCATTTATCAATAAATTATTGACAATAGTCTCTCTCTCTCTCTCTCTCTCTCTCTCTCTNGCCGGAGCCTACAGCCACTACATGTTTATAATGCACGTCAACCCCCGACTTGAGCCCAACACCCGATCACGCGTTGCTGTAGTGGGAGAGAGAGAATTGCATAATGAATATGCAATAACTGATTGTTAGCCAAAATGATTGAAACGGCGCGGCACTAAAGGGTTGGCTCTCAGACTCCCAGTGCCCGAAAATCTTGAGCTCCACTCTGAAACCCAATAGCACTTCAGTTGTTTTTCAAACTTCATTCAATTCGTTTGCCTATAAAATACTCATAAAAAAAAGTTTTTTAGGCAAAAGTTTTTTTAGGCAAAAGTTTTTTAGGCAAAAGTTTTTTAGGCAAAAGTTTTGTTTTTTGAAACACATAATAATAATGAACTCTCAAGTGGTGTGCGAGTCGTGCGATGGACTCCACGGCCAGACTGTGATGATTATGTGCCGTAAATGCGGACCCATTTGCGAGTTTTGTCGACTACTTCACCACAAACTCGAGGCATTTAAAGAGCACCGATTGAGTCAATTAATTGCTGTTCAATCGCCTGATGTAAGAGAATTATAACTTAGTTTTAACATTTAAGATAATTTTATGATAAATGATGATTGATAATAAATGTAATTTAATTTGTAAGCTTAATTAGTAATACATTTATCACAATCAGGTGACTGGTAGCCAACGTGTCTCCCCGTGTCCGCCCGCTCAGCACATTGATGGCCACTCGAGAGACACTAATACTGCCACTCATTTGTCGCACCCATTATTGATAGATATTGGCCCAAATGCTCCATTAAATGCCTCCATTGACCTGTCTATCAGTGGATCCCAAAGGGCTGGTAATTATGTGACAAGCAATTGGGGACTGACCAGTTGTACGAGCAATCATGGTTATAATACAACAATAGGCTACATGACTCACTTTATGCCTCGGGTTATGTCACAATTTGTGTCCACCAATAATCATGTTCACAGATTGCCCTTAATTGACCATTCGTTTAGTTCGTACCATAATCAAAATGGTCACCTAATGAACAATTCATATGCCAACACTTCCACAACTTTAAATTCATTTGGCTATAATGGAGTTTGCCATCATGGTCAAATTGTGGTGCCAGCAAACTATTGTCGTCTATGTACGCGTGAACGCAATCTATATAATAGGTATTTATTTTTATTTGTGTTATATTTTTTAAAGTTGTATAAATTTAATAAATAATTATAATATAATTATAATCACTGTCTATAGAGTAAATTATTTCAATGGTAATAATAATGCACAGTACATAGGACCTATGACAAACACATATACTAATAGGGCTCCTACACCACGACCACACACCATATCAGCGCTACTGACACCAGTTACAAATAATGGTTGGTATCATTTATTTTATCTGGCACATTTATACTCAAGTGACATTAATTATGACCATAATTAATATAACGTTTAAACGCAAAGCAGACAAAAGCGCGTCGAATAACCGCTTTAAAACAAGTCTCACATCCGCCCCAATGGCACCAATAGTTGGTCGCATAACCACTACAATTACCCCGATTGATGCCTCGATGGACATACCATCGCCGGCCACCGCTGCCAACCCATTACAGAGCACAGTAACCGCACAACAGATCATCACAATTGAAGACAGCCCATCGGTCAACCCAATGCAAGTCACTGTTTCTCCCACTACAGCAACGCGAACAATGCCCTCAAGTGATGAGTGTTTGGCCACTAATGAGACCACAAATGCTTATGAAATGTCGGCCGCAAACCATAACCACAGCGATAGGCGTCAAACACTGAGTAACTCTGTCTCCGACACAATGGCCACAAATCAGATCCAACGCGAACGACAACTACTGCGTGAAAGACTTAAGAAATCGGCCGCCGGTCTGTACGCGTGTCAGTGGCCCGACTGCGCGTATAAAACAAAATCGAAATATCCACTGACCTATCACATGATAGCACACAAGAACCTAAGGTTGTATCGGTGTGATTGGCCCCGATGTCAGTACCGATTCAATTGGCAAAAGAACCTGGCTCAACACAGGAAACTACATTTGAAACATTTACAACAATCTATCACACCTAGACACACACCCACTATACCTACGCCACTATCAGCCCCTATCACGTTCACAAAGTTCGGCCATTCGTATGCGATTGGCCCGGATGTGAGTACCGGAGCAGTTGGCCGGAGCCTACAGCCACTACATGTTTATAATGCACGTCAACCCCCGACTTGAGCCCAACACCCGATCACGCGTTCAGTCAAATACCGGTTAATTATCAATTAATTCGGGTTTTTTGTATTTAGTTATGACTTTGTATTTAATTAATTTTGTATTTATTAACTATTTTTATGTATTTTTATATAAATTGCTATTTTTCCGATAATTCATTCGTAACTATATTTTTCTAAACTATATTTTCCTTAAATAATCATTAATTTTATAATCATTTCAATTATGATTTTAATTATAATTTAAACATAATTCCTATAAATTGTATTTTGTAATCTCTATTAACCATTTGTTGATAAATATTTAAAATCCAATTTAATCAATGAATGTTTACATTAAAACTATTAAATTAAATGAATTGTTTAAACATAAAAATATCAACCATTAAAATAATTATAATATGTTTGTGTTGTAAATGTTATAAATGTTTAATTAATTAAAATCATTATAAAATTGTCTTATTTGTAATAATTATTAATTTTACAAATTATTAAATCATTTATTAATTTATAAAAAAGTATTTTATTTCAAACGTTGCGCTCAAAACACGTGTTGTTATTATTGGTTGTCATAAATCACGTGACAATCAGATCGTCTGTTTTGTGTCAAAACTTTTGCCATTTAGTGAAGCAATCAATTGATTCAATCGTTCATATCTTTGGATCAACTCTTTTCCCAAACACGACGGTTGGAGACGAAGACATCGAGCCATGGATTCGCTGCCATCGAAGACATACGACAACGCATTGAACGACATTTGCCTCGACTTTCAGAAGGAGTTGATAGAAATGAAGGCAACAATCGGTGGATTAGCTGATTGTCAGAAGACATCTGATGTCATAATCAGTGAATTATCACAACTGAACGAAGAGATTGTCAAAGAGATCCCAACCAATGGCCAGAAGAGTCCCGCATCTGATCCATCGGTTGGACACACGAGACAAAAGGCAATACATCGCGAGAAATACAACCTAAAGGCCAAGAAGTCGGCGCTGATTGACGCCAACGTTGGACACAATGTCGACCATCTGATCCACAGATGGCAGCGATTGGTGTCCGCGCGACACAAATGCGTACAAACCGATGAGGAATACGAAGAGCCGATGGAAACGATAATTGAAATGATTGACAGTTGTGTACAAACAGATGAGATAATCGGCGAAGACATGGATTATGTGGACACTTATGATGACATGGATTACTCCCAAATGATGGCAACGGAGACCACAGATTGCGAGACATTTTTGAATACCACAATCAATGCCATGAGTGAGACCAACGACTCGGAGGCCACTGATAGCGACGACGAGAGCGAAGATATCGATGGAAGAAGCGATGGGAACACAAGTGAGACAATTGGTGAAGACGTTTGTCTTACCAGTGATGACGAGAACGACGAGTCGATTGCTTATGAAACCACTAATTGTGACGCAAGCGATGCCATCGACTCGGAGACCACTGACGTCGATGAATACGCCGACGACGAGAACAATGTGAGCGCACAGACAGTCACCGACGGATCAAACGGCGTTGATTTGATGGCAAACGAGTCACCAGTGATTGGCGCCAACATTGGACCCGCTGTGTGTCCGGAGACCGGCTTTACCTCTGCTTTTCGGCAATTTATTTCGGCCAAAAGTGATGCCCCGAGCGATGCGTTGGTTGAGTGTTTGGTCACAAATGCTACTCAAACTCCAGACGGAACCGATGGCCACAGCGATGAACGCCAAACGCGGGGCAAATCTGTGGCCAACAAAATGGCCACAAATAAGGGTCGACCCAAACGATCGACACCGAAGAGCCTTAAGCCAGTGGTCGACACTTTGCACGCGTGTCGGTCGCCGGACTGCGCGTTTGCCACCAAATATCGCCACAATCTGGTCCGACACATGAAGACACACACGACACCGGATGCGATACCGCCGATACTGAATGCCAGTGTTGGCCAATCGCTTGTCAGTGGACAGTACGCGTGTGATTGGCCAAAGTGCGGGTACATCACTACAAATAGCAGTAATCTGATTGGCCATAAAAATGCTAAACACTTGAACATACGGCCATTCGTATGCGATTGGCCCGGATGTAAGTTCCGGAGCAGTTACCCCGGGGCCTACAGCGGCCACAGGTTTATAAAACACGTCGACCCCCGACTTGAGCCCAACACACGATCACGCGTTCAGTCAAATACCGGTTAATTATCAATTCATTGGAGTTTTTTGTAGTCAGTTATTACTGTTTGATGTGATTTCAATTACTTTTTGTATTTATTTCACTATTTATATGTATTTTTATATGAATTGCTATTTTCCCGATATTTCATTGATAACTATATTTTTCACATATTTTTCTTAACTCGTATTTCCCTTTAATTAATCATTAATTTTATAATGATTTTAATTATGAATTTAATTTTCATTTAATCTTTATTCCTATAAATTGTTTTCTTGTAATTTCTAATAACCATTTGTTTATAAATATTTAAAATCCAATTTAATCAATGAATATTTGTATTGAAACCATTTGTAAGTTATTTTAATTGAAACTCAAATTAAATGGATTGACTAAATATAAAAGTGTTAATCAATAAAATAATTATAATAAGTTCGTGTTGTAAACTTAAAAGTATTATAAACGTTTAATTAATAAAATTCATTATAAAATTGTCTTATTTGTGGTAATAATTAATTTTACAAATTATTAAATCAATTATTAATTTCTGAAAAAAATGTAATCAAATCTTGCGCTCAAAACACGTGTTGTTATTATTGGTTGTCATAAATCACTGAACAATTTGATGGTCTGTTTTGCGGCAAATGTTTGGCCATTGAGTGAAGCAATCAATTGATTCATTCATTCATATCTTTGGATCAACTCTTGGAGTTTTCCTAGTTTACATGACCAGAATAAAAATGGCCGCCGAGTAGATATTTGAATAGCCCTTGGTCAGTAGTACACAGATATGGTTACCAAAGTTTGCGTTGGTTTTCGAGATAATCGGGATCAAAGTTATGATTTTCCCATTGAAACCCATTATAAATATAACACTCTTTTTTACACCTAAACTAACCTAACCTTACCTTACCTAACCTAACCTAACCTAACCTAACCTAACCTAACTTAACAATATACATATACAATACATATACAGTATATCACCGGGATAACTATGTTTTATCTCCGGAACAACTGTATATACAGTATATGTCTTATCCCGTGTATATATAAAAGTTTTGTTTATAATGGGTTTCAATGGGAAAATCATAACTTTGATCCCGATTATCTCGAAAACCAATTGTTTCCGCAAACTTTGGTAACCATATCTGTGTACTACTGACCAAGGGCTATTCAAATATCTACTCGGCGGCCATTTTTATTCTGGTCATGTAAACTAGGAATGAGGCCAACTCTTTGCCAAACACGACGGTTGGAGACGAAGACATCGATAGCCATGGATTCGCTGCCATTGAAACCATACGACGAGTTATTAAACAACATTTGCCTCGAGTTTCAGAAGGAGTTGATTGAAATGAAAGACACAATCAATGGTTTAAGACACGCCCTGAAGACAACTGATCTCCTAATTGGCCACTTGTCTGAAGCGAACGTATCGACTCTCGAAGTGATCAAAACCAATGGCGCCGTGAATTCATTGTCTGATCCATGGACTGAACGCATGGAACAAATGTCGGATCAAATACAACGAGAGAAACACGATTTGGAGACAAAGAAGTCATCACTGATTGACGCAAACGTTGGACACAATGTCGACGATCTGATCCACAGATGGACACAATGGGTCTTAACACGTGACCAATGCGTACAAACCGATGAGATAATCGGCGAAGACATGGATTATGTGGACAGCGATGGCATGGATTACTACCAAATGATCGCAACGAAGACCACAGATAGGGAGACATTTTATACGACAATCAATGCATTGAGTGATGTCAACG